CCTGATGGTCTAATAAAGAGCTAAACGGCCAATAGTGACGCAGGAGAGAGAAATACGTTGGGCTGGCAGGCAGAGAGGATAAATAGAAGGAGATATCATGGAAAGAAGGAAGGAGTCAGTCACCCAGCTACACAGCAAGCCACGGAGTAAGAGTAAGATTTATAGAAGTAAGAGAATGGGAAAAGCCCAGAGGCAAAAGGTAGACAGGATAATTTAAGTTAAGGAAAGCTGGCTAGAAACAAGCCAAGGTGAGGCTGGGCATTCATAAGTAAGAATAATTCTCTGTGTATTTATTTGGAAGCTGGGGGGCAGGACCCCAAAGACCAAAGAGTAAAAAGAGTAAAAAAAAAAAAAAAAAACAACCAACAAAACACCTCTACAACAATAAAAATTAAAAAGCAAAAAACAAAAAACAAAACCAGATGGGCCCCAGAGACTGCTGGCTTCATGGCTTCCTTGAACATATTGAATAGAAAATTCTGGCATTACCTGTCAGGCATCTGGCTCTTTTTCAGATCAGTCTTATATATGTGTATATAACACAAATGAAATATCAGCTCTTATGGGAAGTGCTAATTTCCCACCAAACAACAACTCTCCCTCTTAAGAGTGACATTTGTTCAGGGCAAAAGTGGGTTCAGCTATTGAAACTCTCTTGTGATTCAGCAATTGAATAACGGCTTTTTTGCGGGGAGAGGGGTACTTTCTCTCATGGTTTCAGAGAGTCTCAGCCTATCACAGTGGAGAGGTAGGAGTCATTGATTCATGGCAGCTGAAACACATTATGGGGTCTCTTTGCAACACATTTAAATCTACCTGCTACCAAAGTGAGGGCCTGGACCCATCCAACACTCTGCTTTTGTCCACACCCCACCATTTAAACGATGAAAGGTGTGATCCTTTTTCTAAAACTCTCTCCCTTCAAATGTGAGCTACCTGTTCTGGCATTGCTACATCTTAGTGCCCAGAAGTCTGCATGCCCTCCATACCAAGTCGGTGCTTGGAAAACAGTAGCCACATGAAGAAACAAAGAGAAGAATCAGGAATAGGGTCAGGAGGGGTTCTGGGTAAACGTTCTTAAAGGCATGCTTCTGCCATCCCCACCCCCCTTTCACTGTATTTCCACTCCTTGCCTCGAAGATGTAGCAGCCACTTTGAGGTCATGATGACCCTCCCTCACAGCTCTTATAAAAGAAAGAAAACAAAACCAGAAACCACAGCCTGGCTTCCAGAAGCCGGTTGAGTCATAGGGCCAGTCCTAAGTATATGAATGGAAAGAAAATGGATCCAATAAAAGTGGCATTTCTTTATGTCACAGTGTGTCAGGCTTCCTGATACTCACACTTAACCTAATTCCTGATAGGTATAAAAGATCTTTCCTAGCCAAGAAAAATAAAAGGAAAGAAGAAAAGGCTTTTCCTTCCAGATATCTTTGTGAAGAGCTACTAACAAGAAATTTGGCTCATGTTCAACCCTCACAGTAGCAGACACCAATCCAAGATCAGGGCCAGGATGTGGACACTACATTTCATCAATAGGTAATGTGGATAGTTGTAAAAATTAAAGACTCAGTCAGATGAAAGCTTCCTCGATTCCTCGATTATCTTCTCAATGAAAACCTATGGCAGGAGTGTAGGAACATGTGGCTGGCCATGCAGCTCAGGGACAGATCTGCTCTAGCACATGCCACACAAGGTCCCATGTCTAATCACCAGTGCCACAAACAAAAATAAGACAAACACCACCTGGCTGAAAATCAGGATGAATGAGGGTGTTTGTCACAGGGGTGACGGGGCAGGAGGATCCAGTTTCTCTTCCCACTGACCTACCTTCCTACTGTATATCCCTTTGATTCTATGTTGTGCAGGGAGCCTAGACGCTTACCTCCAAACTAGACAGGAGCACCAAGGAATGTGGTGCCAAGCAAGAGTGCCAGTACTCCTCACTCCTTGTCCTCTTCATGATAGACTCACTCACCACCCTTGGTCCAAGCTAACTTCCTGGAACTTAAGACTTTAAACCCTGGTAAGTGTTAAGTACCACTGGAAGAAGTAATGTGTTTTTAAGAAACAGACCTTGTATCATAATCCATGCTAGATCCCTGTCTTAGCAAAGCTTTTACCTGGGGCAGCCAGGTGGGAAGCATGTGAGCTCTGGCCCCAACAACAACTGGGGGGTCATTGGATCCAGAAGGCAGGAGCCAGAGTCAGCTGATCTTGGTCTTTAAGTTGCCTGTGGCCCCTGAGCCTCTGTCCCCCACGGGAAGGCTGTCGTAGGACATGTCTCCCTTTGTCTAGTAAGATCTCTTACATGCCAAATAAAAAGCAGAATTTTCTGCCCATAAAGCAACACTCTGAGTCAGACTGGTATTTTAGTTGGCAGACACTCAGCGGACACTAACCAGACACAACCAACGGGTTTGCCAGGCCATCTTCCCCAGCCTCAACAAGCAACTGCAAACTGCCAGTCGGTGTGAGGGTAGGAGGCATCCAGGGATTTTCCAGTTGAACATATCCGCACCCGAAAGCCCAAAGAATAACTTTTCAAAGTAAACCGTGCATTAAATCTGTTCTAACTATATCCGACTTAGACATTTCGGAGTGATCACTCATCTTTGAAGACAAGGCGAAACCTGAAACCTCTTAGAAGATTTTAATCAAAAAATAATTATCAACTAATGCGTGTTTTTCTACTTTATGGCCACTGTGTTAAAAATTGACTCAGGAGGAACTGCTGGATCTAAAACCCTGGTCAAAGTTTGATGAGGGGCAGAGCGTGCTCAAGTCTCAGATATTCTCCCCACAGAATATTTGTTTGTTACCCAGAGAAAAGCATTATTTCCCAGAGGAAAGCCTGACAGATACCATGAGAAACAGATCATCAAAATTCATTATCTCCAATCATGGGATTAGCAGGCATCATGAGCCTCCTGACGTAATGACTGTGGAGAAGAAAAGAAACAAGAAAGCCCTAACATAAAAAAAAACTAGTCTACTCAAAAAAAAAAAAAAAGCAAGTTTACAAGAGACTAAGAAACCCTTTCAGACAATGCATGAAAATGCCATGAGTAATTTTTTAAGTGCTCGATTGAAAAAACATAAATGTCTCAGCATCAGGACAAAGAAGAAAGCTGAACTGCAAGTCAGAAGAACTCACTGTAAGTTTTCTTCTCAATAAATCCCCTGTGGTTCCGTCAGAGTGTGTGTGTCTTTGTCCTTAAGAAATGCGTGCCAAAGACTCAAGGGTTTCAGGCTGCGATGTGTGCAACTCACTTTCAAATGGTTCAGCAACTGTGTGTGTGTGTGTGTGTGTGTGTGTGTGTGTGTGTGTGTGTGTGTGCCCCAGAGAGAGAGAACAAAAGAGCATACACACATCAGTAAATGCTGATTCGGAGTATGGAAGCTTTGTTTTGAGGTTAAAAAAGAATGCTATAATTTTCAAGAACCATTACTAGGGAAGTGAATAAAATATTTTAAAATTTTCAGAATGTTTAGAAAAAATACTTAAACCTGAACCAATTAAAAGAACAGAGGCAAAATGGTAGATGGGGGGGAGATGGGGTGGAGGGGTTGTCAACAGTAGGTATGGTGCCAATTCTTTTATTAGCCTCTGAGGAGTCCATCAGCCTCCCCCGGGCCACAGAAGTCCCACCATATTTCCAAGGAAAGGATACAAACACGGAAAACATGACTCGCCACCACTGAGGGAAAGGAATGCCCAGCTTAACCAAGGCTAACCCTAACTCGGTGAGTCGCTTCCCCCTCTCATTTCCTGGAGGACTCAGATGCTGAAGGAACACCTGAGCTCTCTGCCTCCATCACACCCAAGTGATACAGCAGGTCAAGAGAATCCACAGCCCATGTTCTCAATGCTTCTCCAGCACCTCAGCACGGCCCATGTTCCAAGTCAGTGTCCACATACACCCATGGCCTACTTCAGCCTCAACAAGAGGAGGATCCTGGCAGGATCCAAGTCCACTCAACCAAGAGATTCTTACACAGTGTGTGCGTCTGTCTCCCAACCCTTGCTTTTCATTGGCTCTTTGGTCCTAATGATATTATTTTTAGTCTTGACCCAAACCTACTCAGCCCCTTTAGGTTCGTTCAGAGCTGCAGCTTTCTGATAAAGCGACATTCACGCCTCGATGCTGTCTCTGCCAGCAGCACACACGTGGCCGGATTAGGCCGAGGGGGCTGTAAAGTACACACACACTTGCCCAGCGTGTGCTTCTCATTCCTAAAATACTTCGTTCCTAAACCACTTCTCTGCCTCTCTTGGCACAAGACAGGACAAGTGGCTCTGGGCCAGAGGAAGTGTCTGCTTAGAGATGTGGGCTTTCTTTAAATTTCTTTACTTCAGAAAAAAAAAAAAATCACATGGAAAACGTTCTAGCATGATTACAAGGGAACAGAGTAGAAAGGGGGCAAACCGGTAGATAAAGATATTTGGTTTTGGTTTTTGAAGTTGTCTAAAAGAAACACTGAAAATATAAAACCCAGCATTATCTTTTATGAGAACAGACATTACAGCGCCTAAGTGAGGACAAGAAAACAAAAATATCCCTTTAACAGAAAAGGTTCATGCATGAGTGCCAGCTTCTCACACATGCATCACATGCTTGTTTTGAGGTAGCATGCCCATACGAGGTACGGGGGAGACCTTTCAAAGTCACTGCTTTCGTTAGAATGTATTTTTATTTTTCTACTTGGCTCCTTCGTGCTTTTTTTCATCCTCTACTAAAAGCAAAGGTCAAAGATGAAAAGCCTATCCCAGCTGGTTTAGCTGCCCTGTCCCTCAAGCTCCAGGCATTTATTGGGGACCCCCTCACGACTAGCTATGCAAAATTAACGGCTCTCTTGAAAAGCCGCAGGCATCCCCAGCTGGCCTGCAAAGCCCACCAACGGCAGACGTACCACCCAGAACACGTTAAAGACTATCACCTCCCACTCCAGCCCAGACGCCTCCCCGGTAGCTCAGACTGGGGCGGGAGGGTAACTTACTTTCTTTCCACTTCTGGTGTTGACACGGCGCTGCAGAAGCCAAGGGACTCCTAAAAGAGAGAGAAGGTTCTCAGCGTCAGTAAGCGACAACGGTGTCTCGTTCCTACAGAATATCACTTGAGAGAAGAGGCAGAAGCCAAACCAGATGATGAAAGTCGCTGTGCTTACTTCGAGCTGGGACCGCAGCTGAAGTGACGTGGGGCCGGCGTTGGGTTTCTCCTAAAACAGAACAGATGCAGCCTTGATGAGACTCCCAAACGTGGCACACACACAGAAAGATAAATAGATATGTAAGAAGAGATGGGAGGATTTGGGAAGCACTCCTCTGTACAGTGGGAGGAGATGGCAGAGATAAATGGATTTTCTGGAAAACCTGAAATGCTTCTCAGATGGGAGCACAAGACTCTTGGAACGGAACTGCTTTACCAAACGTCACTGCTGCTATACTCTGCTCACAGTTTTACTACACACAAGCACCAATCAACAGAGGGGCCCTGAGAGTTAATGGTGGAATAAGTCTCTAGATACACTGGGCCATCATCACTAGACACTGAATTTACCGCAGCTGTTGAAGCTTATTTTTCAATAACAGCGGAGTTCCAGCCTGATGGTTTTACGTTTACTTGTCTATATTTATTGGGGAGGGCACACACTGGTGCCCTGGCGTGCGTGTGGAGGTCAGAGGCCAGCTTTCGGGAGTCAATTCACTCCTTCCACCAGGTGGAACCAAGGATTAAACTCAGGTTGCTAGGTAGAGCTTCAAGGGCTCTTGCCTGCTGGGAGAGCCATCTCGGCAACTCCCAACCTGATTTTGAAATTCTACATTTATTCAAAGGATTCAGTAACGTAAGGCTTATTGGAAATGTGTGTTAGAAAGCTGGAAGACTAACTGGATATTATCTCACCCTTTTAAAAAAAATCACCATATATATTACAAATGAACTGGCCTGTTTGAAAATTTACGAAAGCTCTCAGCTTGCAGGTGATGAATGACATAAAAATGCATGATGCTGTGAGTTTATTGAGAAACATTAAATCACAAGGACAGAGGAATCCGCTTTAGAGATAAAATCCACCATGCCCTGTAACACCCTTGTTTTATAGTAAATGGATGTGTTTCCCTTGAAAATGAAAAACACAAGGGGGAGAGAAGTGAGTTACATGTGATGTAAACAGTGGACGGAGACGGGCTTTGGGGGTCTAAGGGTGAAAGTTGTACTAAGGAAACATTTGGATGTAATTAGAAGAGCCATCCACAGCGCACAGGGCCTAACCCTAGTGATTTTCCCAAAGAAACTAATTCAGAATCAACACAAGTGTAAACAAAGGCTTATCTTCTCTGAGGCAGGTTCACAAAGTACAACTGAGGCAGGTTCACAAAGGGCAACTCTGAAACAGACATTTAGAAGCCACTTCTGGCCCCCCCCCCCAAAAAAAAAAATATGCCTCTTCACCTGGTCTCACAGCTAACTGTTCAGCCTGGCACCTCTACCTTCATGGAGTCCCTGTCTACCCCCTTTACTTTGGTATAGTAAAGATAGGTCACTGTCCTAAACCTGTAGCCATCTTGGATTCTTAGAACAGATGAGGATAATTATCTCTAATGGAGAGGCCACACCCTGGAGTAGGAGCGTTCATCTTACAGAGACCAGATCCATCCTCATATGTCATGACAGTAAGACATCTTCAGACCACCTTCACAGAACCAAGACAAATGTCAAGCAAAGCACAGTTTGACAAGGACTGCCCACCTATGCAGACCTCTGATCCCTCTGACACACAAGTCAGCACACTGAAAGATGGGCTTGGAGTCACTGGAACCTACCCAATGTGGCTACATTGACTAAATTCTCTCTCTCTTTTTTAAGACTACTCGTTGATGGACATATTGAGATGAGCAGCGAGACTAGCCTATAGAGACTGCTGGGGTCAGGCTTTTGCCCTAAAACTCCAGTTACTGTTAAAATATACATACGTGTGCGTGTGTGTGTGTGTGTGTGTGTGTGTGTGTGTGTGTGTGCACGCACGCACACACTATCAGAAGATATATTTGAATCTTTGATTTCTAAGAAATCTGAGTACTGAGCAAGCCTCAGGCCCCACCCTTCTGCAGCTCCAGAGAGACCAGTTGGGCAGCACTGGCATTTTGAAACTACCTCTTTGAAGTCACTTAGAGGACGGACTAGGGCCACTGGACAGCCCTCCCTTCTGCGACCTTTATCTGGTTCTCTTCCTAACATGGCCACTTGGAAGTCTCCTCTGAGCTGATCACCATTACTCACCTTTGGAATTAGCATACTGGGGATAAATGGCTGAGCCTAGTGCATCAGAGCTGCCAGAACCCAAGTTATCAGGTTATGGTTACCCAAAGCTCAGGTTATCATTCCCCAATCAACTTGGTATAAGATAATAGGCATGTGTGGCAGAAGTAGTATCATTAGCTAAGTTTAAACTATCAGAATCAGATTTCTTTAATAATCTGATTGCAATAGCTTTAACCATTGTTATATTCTTCAGGACTATATTACATGAGTTTAGGAACTGTTTCGATCACATCAACTAACACTTAGGAAGCGGGCAGGTCATAGTCATGTCCAATGGTGCATCCTCATAGGCATCGGATTACTAAGTGTATTATTAAAGATCATGATGAACACAATCACAAAACACCAACAGAGAAACTTTGCTGAAGGAGAAAGGTAGCAGAGAAATAAGGACAATTTGGAGTAGAGCTAGAGATGTGAGGATGTGGCAGGAATCGAGCCCAAACACAGGCCATCACTATCCATGTGCTTTCTCACGGGGTAAAGGGGCGGGTTGTGGGAACCCGCTGCCCAGCCCTGTGTGTGCGGTGGGTGATGCTGTACTGTATACATTGAAACCAGAAGGAGGGTGGGTTGCACAACATGAAGGCCGGTTTTGTTTCCGTCACAAGGAAAACAATGAGTGTGCCAGAATGGGTAGATCTGAGGAGACAATGGTGGAACAGCCTGAATGAGAAGAAACATCTTAAGGGACTGGCTGCTCACTCAGTCCCCATGCCACACCCTTGCTTGTGAAGCACCACAGAACTCCACTGCCCTTAAGGCCCTGCTGATTTGGTTTTGTTTTTTAATTTCTACTTATTTACTTACTTGTTTGCTTGTTTATTAATGTGACAGGAGGAGCGTGAGTCTGCTACGGAGTGGTTTGGAGAGGTCAAAGGACAACTTTGGAAACCGGTTCTCTCCTTGTACTGTGGGTTCCAGGGATGCCACTCAGGTGGCCAGGCTCCCAATGGAAGCCACAGTACAAGGAGCCTGGCCTCCTGGTTTTTATTCTTGCCATTGTCCACAATACTTATATTTCTGTACCAAACGTGACACGTAAGTTTTACAAGGCAGTGTTTCTAACGTGTTCAAAGTCCACCTGGTCCTGTGTAGATCCCTGGTGCAACAGCATGCCTGTGCTTACAGCCTAATCTAGAAGCCAGATACTTAAACCTTGTAAACAATACATAGAGACATACTTTCAAGTTTAAATTTTTTTTTTAAAAAAAGCACTTTTGTAAGCAAAAATACTATTTGCAAATACATACAGCTCAAGGCAAAACCAGTTGCTTGCCAAAAAAAATCAACAGATACTCCCGTCTGAGCTTTCACCTGCTTGTCCAGGTGAACACATGTATAGTCCAGATACATTAAGAGCACATGGGTCAAATGTAACACTTAGGCATTGAAACTGAACGAATATATTTTGTTCTAATGTGTCCAAGTCCGTTATGCGATACACCAGACTCCAAACCCACCTGAGGGCAGAAATAAGGTCTTGGAAAATGGTTTTCATGCCCCGCTCCCCTGTCGTCATTGTCCCCCCGCCCCCCGGCCCAGCTGTTTCCAAGTTCTTGTGGAAATTCACATTTCTCTGTCCCTTATTGCTGCCAGGATCCCACGCCAAATGAACTTTACAGCTGGAAAGGAAGGAGGGATAAACCACTGTGCTGTTCCAAAGGCAGAGAGGAAGGACACCAAGCACCCACCAGCTCAGCTCAGGGCCAATTTCTCCTCCTCCACAGGACCACAGGAAGGAGATGGAAAAAGCCAGGCTCCACCGCTCGCTTAGTGGAACACAAGGAAAAAACAGAATGCCGCGTGCTCCCTCGACGTATGCTGGATGAACGCAGGGAGCCCAGGAGCTGATAGCGGTAAATTTGAAAAGTACTTTAAGGCCAGCGAGATGGCTCACTAGGTAAGAGTACTTGTCACCAAACCTGATGGCCAGAGTTCAATCCCTGGAACCCACATGGGATGGAGAGAACCAGCTCTCTCAAGCTGCATTCTGAGCTCTCCCTGAATGCTCTGCGGGCGCGCACACATACACACACACACACACACACACACACACACACACACACACACACACACACGGAAAATGTAAGAGAACGTTTCACAGAAAGCTTTCCGTGAGAAAGCAGGGCGAGGATCCCATTGGCAAGGTCTCAGCAGAGATCCTTACAGAAACAGATAAACAAACAAACATAAACTAGACAGAGAACTCGGAAGGAAATCCACAGGCAAATAATCTACTCTTACTTTGATTGGTTTTGACCTCATTTCCAGGGAATCCCTGGCTTCAAACACCACTAAGTTCTTTCTCGACTCATAATGCCAGCCTCTTTCTCTTAGACTTAAACACAAAGATAGCAGCACCACGTCTTTAATTTCAAGACTATGAATAAAGTCCTGAGAGTTCAAGGATGAACACCACAGCTCTCTAGTTGCTATGGTATGCCTACCTCTGGGTTAAGCACCCTTTCCCAGAGCTCACTAGACAGCCTGTCATCAACCCTTGGACCAGGGAGAGGCAATGGCAGAGATAAATCCCACTGCGGCCTGAAACTGGACATCTATAAAACCCTGATTCCAAGTCCTTTAGCACTGTTTAAACTTAATGCATTACAGTACCCTGGGTGATAGTTTAATACAAGTCATTGGGTCTCACTCCCTATCCTGACTCCCAGGTTTAGTAGGTCTAGAAGATGACACCCAATGCCAATATCTGGCCTTCACATGCACATGTATGGGCAAGTACCAACACACACACACACACACACACACACACACGTATGCCTGAAAGGGAAAAAAGCAAAACAAAACTCATAACTAGCTGTTACACTAGTTGAGAAAGAAAATCAAGTAAAAAAAAAATAAGAGTCTCAGGAGGTTGAGACAAATGTCAAA